TCCTCGAATTTCATAATTCACTTATGAAAGTAGCAAGCATCAGAATTATTCTCAACCTAGTCATCGATAAGGTGCCGTTCAAGGATATAGTTGCATAATTTCATTATTTGGATGTAGTATAATACCCTTCATATTTACCCTTTTTTCAAGTATTCTTTGAGATTCGGGTGTATTGGAAAGCGACATCCCGGGCGTTCAGGTAGCTCGAAGCGGTAGCCAGTCGGAGGTGCCTCACTTCTCACTGACCCGAAGGTGATGTTCTCCTACATGTTCCCCTCAGTTCCCATCGCCTACTCTATTTTTAAGTCGCGTGTGTACTCAAAGACCGAGAATTGAGACGAAAATTTATTGGAGAAAGTAAAGCGATCCCCGACCGCTCAAATTCATAGTTTCTTTCACATATTGAAAAGATGCATTCACTTGAATCTAGGTCAAAACCAGTAACAACTTTGAAGGCAGGAAATGATCGTTGCGTTACGAGATTGAATTGAATAAACTACATAGCAATTCTATTTGGTTACGAGAAGCTAACCAATGTTGTAGAACCAACAACTTAGAGCTTTTTTGTTTGTCCTACATCATCGCTGTTGAAGAGCTTTCAATTACCTCGTTCGAACGAACACATTAGACTAGAAAACAGTAGTAACAAAATGTAAACAAAACCGGTTAGTAATACAACATCAAATCCAATCCAAACCCTGCAACGTCTATCACATGGAAAACAAATGCTCTTCATCTGAGGAAAATGCTTTCAGCAATTATTCTAGTCACTTGATATGGGTCACAATTTGATGACGGACGCCTATCTTCCAAATAGCCCTGAAATTTCCATTATCAGCGAACTTGAGAAGAACTTCTGCTGGACCGGGGATGGTTGCTCTGCTTACCTTGCCTTCCTGTGCAACACCTCTTGGAATCCTAACCGATGCGGCTCTGTTAGCAACTCCCCACGTGAACTTTTCTGCGGAACTTGTCTCGTGTCTTCCCGTTAGCCTATAAATCTTAGTTATTCATCTTTCTCGGAAGAAACCATGAGAAAAGCATCCAGATGAACCTATCAGCGACCCGATACAACTCCAGAAACAAAGGAAAACCTTTGAACGTACCTATGTTTGTTGTCTTCTCCTCCATGAGGATCGTAAACGCTGATGGCTTCCTTATGTGTGGCTGCGAGCTTCGGCATTGCCTGAAAGTAATCAAAGAATCGATATTTGGCAATCCCTAGCATATCGTGAAGTGAGTAAGAACAATCCGAACACGGGTTGGTCATAGGGATGCATGGTAAGCCTCCCCAAACGCAGCGATCCGTCCCTTTGTAGGAAACAAACACCCTTAGGTGAAACACATGCCCCAAACCCTCACAGCACCGCCCTACGCCATAACTCTCTCACCAAATATTGTAGGTAAGCGTTAGGGTCAGACGTTAAGCCTGTTTTAGTTCGGTGACGCAAGAAGCCCCTTTTCCCTTTCCGTTTTCATTTAGTTTTTATTTGTTGATCATCATCAGTGACAGGTTCTTCTCTCTATGGGAATCTCATAGAGATTCTACCCATAAGAATTGCATCCTTTACAAAATGAGTTGAGTGAGACAGTGGGCACTCACAGCTTCAATTACTTTCATTCCTCCTTCAGCACGCATTTCATCGGTTGAGAAGTTGCAGTGACAGCCAGCTCCATTCCAGTCACCCATCGTCACCTGTAACCATCATTGAAAGGGCAAACGAAGACCAACAGTGAAAAAAGTAATCACTCATTTTTTAGAAAGAATCTTAGACATTTTTTTCAGCAAAAAAGCCACATACCGCAGGTTTAGGATGGAACGTCACGGAAACTCCGAATTGTTCAGCAACACGATGCAAAAGGTAGCGAGCCATCCATAGTTCATCGCCCATAGAGATACCTTCACACGTACCCAGTTGGAATTCCCATTGACCTGGGGTCACTTCTGAAACGTACCCAAACCTTAATTACAATCCCGTAGCTACAGGCCTGACTTTTTCATACAGGTCCGCCTAAGCAGACACCTAAAAGTCCAAGGGAAAATCACATACCTGCATTGATTCCGAAGATCCGTAATCCAGCATGGAGACATGCACGATAATGGGCATTCACCACTTCCCTACCGAACACCTTATTCGCTCCGACACCACAGTAATACGGCCCTAAAGAAGCATTCCAGAAGTGTTGATAAGAGGGTATTGGCAAGATGCCAAGCTTCAGCTCAATAGAAGTTCAGCACTAACCTTGTGGAGCTGGGTAACCATGTTTCGGCCAACCAAGGGGATATCCGTCCCTATCGAGCAGTAGATATTCTTGTTCCATCCCAAACCATGGATTCATATGATCGATCTTTTTCATAACTTCTGCACATGCACTTCGATGATTTGTTTCTGGAAAATTGAAACTTCTCATTTTGAGGTAACCATTTCTAGATTGAGGAACTATTCATATATAGAAATCAGGTGCCCAGGTGCCCCTACCACATAATAGCTCAACATCTATTCATCTCAAAACTGCGAAAATCCATTGAAATCGAGAGTGCTCCAATGAATCCCCTCCCATAAAATTCCTGCAATAGGCCCCAACAGTCTGAAACATCTATCAAAGTTCTTCAAATGAGTGGAGTTTTAATCTGATCAACGATGCCACTCCAATCATGTGTGAACAAAGAACCAATCTGCCCCAGACGAGTTCTTTTTTTTNNNTTTTTTTTGCTTGACTAGATCTTGAAGGTTGTTAAACAGTTGTATGTGAAGCACTTCTTTCGCCCACACAGTCTTCCCATCAAAAAACTCCAAAGTCACGTAAGCAAATACCTTGAGCAAAGTTCTTATGGCATTTTTAGTTTCTCCACCTGACTCTTTTCCTACCCTTAGCTCATTGGCAATGGGACACCGTAAAAAAAACTTTTTCACGCATTTGCTCCCTCAGTATAAAAAAGCGAAGGAGGCTGTGTAACGTGCCACAAACTCGAGTTTGCAGAAAGAACTTGCAGATAAATGGGAGCTAACTAGGCTGATTCTGCCATGAAGAAAAAAATCCCAAAAAAATCCTAACAGAATTCACGAAAAAAGCATCACTTTCAGTTGCTCCGTGTTCAGTGAGTGTATTAGTTCTGGAATAAGCAGAATAGACCGCTGACTTTTTAAATTCATTTGAACACTAGCAGAGCTGCCAACTTAACACTGACGAAGTACAAACTCATGCTGTAGATATCTCATACTGCTACCTTGTCTTTAAGAATTTATTTACCCCCACCTCCTCCACTGGGTTACGCTTCCCCTCTAGAGTAGATGGCCGTACTCTGCTCCAACTAGTGATGTGCACGATTGCCAAGATCAAAAGGCTGGCGTGAACCCAGTGGAAGATTTCAAAAGCTATTTCTAATTCGGACTTCTGCGAATATTCCCATCGCTACACTTCAGAAGTCTTCGTCACTGGAGACTACACGCAGTTGTAGATGCCTTTCAGAGCCATACAAGAGAACCTATGGACTTCGTGAAATGTCTACAATTCCACGGGTGATGGACCACCAACTGTCCAAGATGTATTGGGTTGTCCGAAAAGTTCCCGCCGATTTTTGTTTCATCTTTGAATGAAAATTCCTAGAAGAAGAAATCCATTGATTGAACAATATATCCTCCATTCTGTTCAGTGAGGATTCGCCAACTTCCTGTAGCTTCCAGTTCCCCTTTTCGATAGAAGGTTCGAGACTTAAAATCGAAAAACCCACTCAGGTGCTTTTTGCAGTCCTCCAGTGAATTGAACGATTTTCCATTCAGAGAATTTTGCAGAAACCCAAACAAGTGGTATTCTGATGGTGCTACGTCTGGACTATATGGGGGTGTGGTAAGATATCACACCCGAGCTTTAGTAACTTTTGACGAGTGGTCAAAAATACGTGTGGTCTGGAGGTACCCTGTTGGAAGATTACGCCCTAACAATTGGCCACTTTGGGTCGCTTTTGGTTTATCGCTGCCTCTATATTTTCTAGCTAACTATAGTACCTTTCCTAAGTCATCTTTC